GGACTTTCATAGCTAGAGAGGAGAAGTCAATGCCTGGCTTCAAAGCTTCAAAGAAAGGGCTGACTTTCTTGTTAGGGGCTAATGCAGCTGCTAACTTTAAGTTGAAGCCAATGCTCATTTACCATTCCAAAAATCCTAGGATCCTTAAGAATTATGCTAAATCTACTCTGCCTGTGCTCTATAAATGGAACAATAAAGCCTGGATGGTAGCACATCTGTTTATAACATGGTTTACTGAATACCTTAAGCCCATTGTTGAGACCTATTGCTCAGAAAAAAAAAGCTTCCTTTCTGTGCTCTATAAATGGAACAGTAAAGCCTGGATGGAAGCACATCTGTTTATAACATAGTTTACTGAGTACTTTAAGCCCACTGTTGAGACCTACTGCTCAGAAAAAAAAGATTCCTTTTAAAATATTACTGCTCACTGACAATGCACCTGGTCACCCAAGAGCTCTGATGGAGACGTACAAGGAGATTAATGTTGTTTTCATGCCTGCTAACACAATTTCCATTCTGCAGCCCATGGATCTGGAGTAATTTTGACTTTCAAGTCTTACTGTTTAAGAAATATTAAGGTTATAGCTGCCATAAGTAGTGATTCCTCTGTTGGATCTGGGCAAAGTAAATTGAAGACCTTCTGGAAAGGATTCACCATTCTAGATGCCATTAAGAACATTTGTGATTCATGGGAAGAGGTCAAAATATCAACATTAATAGGAGTTTGGAAGAAGTTGAGTCCAGCCATCATGGATGACTTTGAGGGGTTCAAGACTTCAGTGGAGGAAGTAACTGAAGATGTGGTGGAAATAGGAAGAGAACTAGAATGAGAAGTGAGCCTGAGGATGTGACTGAATTGTTGCAGTCTCATGGTAAAACTTGAATGGATGAGGATTTGCTTCTTAGGAAGGAGCAAAGAAAGTGGTTTCTTGAGATGGAATCTACTCCTGGTAAAGATGCTGTGAACATTGTTGAAATAACAGCAGAGGATTTAGAATATTATATAAACTTAGCTGATAAAGCAGTGGCAGGGTTTGAGAGGATTGACTCCAATTTTGAAAGAAGTTCTACTGTGGGTAAAATGCTATCAAACAGAATTGCATGCTACAGGGAAATCTTTCATGAAAGGAAGAGTCAGTCGATGTGGCAAACTTTATTGATATCTTATTTTAAGAAATTGCAACAGCCACCCCTACTTTTAGCAGCCACCACCCTTATGAGTTAGCAGCCATCAACGTGAGACAAGACCCTCCACCAGCAAAAAGATGATGCCTAAAGGCTCAGATGATGCTTAGCATCTTTCAGCAATAAAGTTTTTTTTTTTTTTATTGTACTTCAGGTGAAGGCTTACAGAACAAATAGTTTCTCATGAAACAGTAGTACACATGTTGTTTTATGACATTGGTTAACAACCCCACAATGTATCAACCCTCTAACTTCTCAACCTTTTTTTTTTTTGGTGAAAATATACATAGCCAAAGATACACCATTTCAAAAATTTCTACATGCACAGTTCAGTGACATTGACTACACTCTTCCAATTGTGCTGTTATTCTCACTTAAGATGAAGGCTTACAGAACAAAATGGTTTCTCATTTAACAGTTACTACAAATGTTGCTCTATGACAATGGTTAACAATCTCACAACACATCAACAATATCCTTACTCAACCTTGTGTTCCCCATCACCAGCTTCCTTGTCCCCTTCTGCCTTCTGGCCCTTGTCACTGGACTCCTGTACCTTGTTAGTCTCATTTGGTTTTACGGGGCTGTCTACTCCCAGGCTGAATGGTGAACCTCGGAGATAACTTCACCACTGAGCTAAAAAGGTGTCTGGGGGCCATACTCTTGGGGTTTCTCCAGTCTCCTTTAGGCCAGTAAATCTGGCCTTTTTTTTGTGAGTTAGAATTATGTTCTACATCCTTTTCCAGATTTGTCCAGAACCCTCTGTTGTGATCCTGGTCAGAGCAGTCAGTGGTGGTAGCCGGGCACCATCTAGCTGTACTGAACTCAGTCTGGTGGAGGCCTTGGTAGCTGTGGACCATTAGTCCTTCGAACTAATCTTTTCCTTGTATCCTGTTCTCTTCATTCTCCCTTGCTCCCGAAGGGATGAGACCAGTGGAGTATCTTAGATGGCCGCTCACAGGCTTTTAAGACCCCAGACACTACTCACCAAGGTAGAATGTAGAGCATTGTCTTTATAAGCTGTGTTATGCCAATTAAGCCATGGTCCCCACAGCCCTCCGCCCAGCAATTCAGTCCCTCAGGGAGTTTGGATGTGTCCATAGAGCTTCCATGACCTTTCCTTGTACAAGTTGTGCTAGTTTCCCCTGTATTGTGTACTGTCTCATCCTTCACCCAAAATACCACTTATCTATTCGGTAATAAAGTATTTTTAATTAAAGTATGTACATTGTTTTTTTAGACATAATACTATTACAAACTTAATAGACTACAGTATAGTGTAAACATAATTTTTATATGCACTGGGAAACCAAAGATTCATGTGACTCGTTTTATCGTGATATTTTCTTTAGTGCAGTGGTCTGGAACTTAACCTCTAATACCTCTGAGGTATGCCTGTATTGTTTTCCTGATTTCCTTTAGATCTTTTTCTGTGTTTTCCTTTATCTCTTTAATCATTGTTAATACTGATGCTTAGAAGTCTTTGTTGTGTAATTCATTATCTGTCCTTCCTCAAGGACAGTCCCTGTCCCCTTATTTTCATCATTTGAATAAGCCATCCTTTTTTTCTCTTCGGGTGCTTTATGATTTTCTGTTGTCTTTGGGGCATTAAGTTTTGTTTTAGTTTTTTCTACTTTGCCAGATCAGGAGATTAGATTCTTCCCCTTCTCTACAGATTGCTCTTCTTCCTCTTTATTATTGTTATTATTTTTTTATACTACTGAAGGTTGTAGTTCCTTGTTTCTAATCTGGCCTTGGTGTCTACTACACTTGCTGTTGTTACTTCCCTATTGGTCTCCTTGTTCAGGAGCATCAGCTGTTACTGTTTTGCCTCTGGTTTCCCTAGGTGGGGATACTGGCCTACCCACTATAGCACTGAACTCTGTGGCTTATAGTACTTGCTGTGGTTTCCTTCCCTACAAATATTGGAGACACTGACAGTATTCTCTAGTATCAGACTCCCCCCGCCATGAGAGATGCCAGGTGTGCCCCTCCAGTACGCCCCATTGGGGTTACCAGCTGTCTCTGGTTGCTCACCATAGATCTCCCTCCCTGTGAGGACTAGCCAGACGACTCTGATACAAGGCCCCCAACCAAGAGCTGCAGCTAACACAGATGCACAAGACTCCTCTCCCAGAAACACTGGCTGCAGTACACCAGCCTCAGAGTCCCACCTTGGGAATGGCAGATTTCACCACGTGTCCTCGGTGTTTATGCTAACCAGTCCACACGGTGCTCACCTCATTGCTTTTTCCTGGGATTCACAGGAACTCCTGCCTGAGTAATACTTGCCCAGCTGCACTGTCCCAAGTCTGATTGCTCAGGTGTCTCAGCCCACATTGCATCAACCTCACCTCCCTGTATCAAGGCTGACTGTTCATGTACTGTGGCCTGCATTGTGCCTTGTGTCAGCTGTCAGGCAACTGTCAGGAGTTTCTCAGGTTTTTCTCTGCTGTACCGGAATGGGTTAGGGTGGAGGCTTTTTAGACGTTATGCCCAGAGATCTGCTAATGTCTTCAGAGCCACAACCTGGCTGGATGGGGTTTCCCACCAAGGCTGGCTGTTCCTGGTGGGTGGTTTAGCTGATGGGTGGTCCCTGCTGAGGCTGATGGATGGAGTCTAGGGTCTCCCTCCTCTGTGCATGTAGGGGGAAGGGTGTAGGCCCCTCAACCCATTCACCCTGGAGATCCACCTATGGCCTCAGATCCAAAGCCACCATGTTTTAGTGTCAACAGTCTAGGCTATCCAGCCAGACAGGAGTGGTGTGGTGGCTTCCCACCCTGTTCTCCCCACAGATCTGTTCCTGGTATCAGGGCCTGAGGCCAAGAAGATCCTCCTCCTGTACCTGAGAAATGTACTGTTAATGGCAGTCTGCTGAGTTCTGTACACCCTTTCCCAGGAGAGTCGGGTCTCTGCATTCAGCATGTCTCTCTGTATTTTTCCTAGGGCTGCCTGCTCAGTTTTTCCAATTCCTGGTGTTTTCCCTTTATTGCACTTTCCCAGGACATGGGAGCTCAAGCCCATGGTGCTGCACCCTACCTGTGCTTGCTCTGGCTTTCCTGTCTCTGGCCTGGATATTCGTACAGTACAATCCGCACTACTCCCCCTGGGTTGCACATTCCTGGGGTTCCTGGGACTCAAGTCTATGCTGTGCCCGTGCACCTTTATCTCCCAGGCCTGCCAGTCCCAATATGTGCCATGCCCACATTGCAGCTCCATCCCAGGGCTGTTTACTTAGTATCCCTGTCTCAATCTATGTTCTGTGTGCTGTTGCCGCCCTAGACTCCCTGTCTGGAGATTCCATCTGCAGTCACTTCAAGATGGCCACGCTCAGCCGGGCTGGCGGGTAAGGTAGGGATGTCTGTGAACCTTTGCTTTCCCACCATCTGAGTTGTATCTTTTTCTTGATACAGTGCTCACTTTGGTTCTTCAGCCCTACAGCTGATGTCCAGAGTTAGGAGACCATCGGTTGCATCGATTTTTACTTGTTTTCTTTTAGCATTCTTGTGGAGGGATGTGAGGATGTGAGTATTATGCCACCATCTTGCTCATCTGAAGGATCTAATTGTTTATTCTTTAGGAGACATAATTTGACCCATTTTATTTTCGTATATTAGAAAACTTTAAGTAATGATGAGCTAAGATATAACTGGATTTTTAAAATGCTCGTTATTTTTAAATTGTCACCCATTAAAAGGTTGGTTCTTAGTTTCAGCTTCTGTAATGGACCAGAACATTGGATTTTTGTCTTAGTCTTCACTGAATTTTGACGAAGAGGAATTGCTCTTAAAGAGAAATCTTTTCTTCTAATTTAGGTAAGAAGGTGTTAATCGTCTATGCACACCAAGAGCCCAGGTCTTTCAATGGATCCCTGAAGAAAGTGGCAGAGGAGGAGCTGAGCAGGCAGGGCTGCACGGTCGCTGTGTCTGATTTATACTCCATGAACTTTGAGCCGAGGGCCACAAGGAAAGATATCACTGGTGAGTCATGGGATACTCTGTTTATTTTTAACTTTCTTCTTTTTTTTCCTTAATTAAAAATGCTTTGAAAAAGCTAATATTTGCACATGATGTAAAGTTCTCAGGCCAAGAGTCTATAATGCAAGTCTTTTTCCCGTCCCTATCCCCACACCATGTTTCCCTACCACTACGCTAAGCAGTGTTGACAGTTTGTCTGTCTCCTTCCAGAGACCATCTCTGCTGCACAAGCAATTATGAATGCATTCTCCATTTCCCTTCATTTATGCAAAACTGGTAGTATTTTACCCGTTGTTTTCACATTGCTTTCTTTTTTACTGTTGCAAAGTATTTCATTGTATGGAGGTGTCATTTAAGTAGTCCCTACTAAAGGGCATTTTAGGTTGTTTCTGATCTTTTGCTGCAGTAAATAATCACGGCCATATGACTTTTCCTACATATATAAGTATATCTAGAAGTAGAACTGCTGGTCAAAGGGAATGTACATTTTTAATTTTCATAAATATAAAATTGCTTTCCATAAATGTTGTACCAGTTTACACTCCCACCAGCAATGTTTGAAAATGCTTGTTTCTTCACACTGTCACCAACAGTGTTTTCAATTTTTATGATAATTGCTCATCTAACAGATAAAAAAAATTGCTTGCCAGTATAGTTATAGTTTGCCCTTCTCTCATAAGTGAGGTTTAGTATCTTTACATATATTTAAGAAGAATTTATATTTTCTTTCCTGTGAGTGATCTGTTCATATCCCTTGTTCATTTTCTATTAGGTTATTGGTCTTTTTTCTCATTGAGTTTTAATAGCTCTTTATTTATTAAAATATTAGCCTAGTATATGACAGCTTTTACTTTTTACATTTAAATATTTTATCTATTTCAAGTTTATTTTAGTGTATAAAGTGAGGTATGGATCGAATTTTTTTTCTAATACCTACCCAGTTATCTCAATCACCATTTATTGAATAATCCAGCTATGTGTGCCTGATTTAAAATGCCACCTTCATTGTATACTAAATTTCCACATGTTTGATTCTATTCTATACTTTCTATTTTGTTTTTGTCTATCTAATCATGAACCAGTATCACATGGTTTTAATTATTTTGGCAAATAATATAATTTAATCTTACAGAGCTAGTTCATCCTCATTTCTCTTAATTTCTATTTTTACTTTATTTTTCCATAAAACCTTTTGACTGTGCTTTCCAAATTAAAAAAGAAACCTGTTGGTATGTTTATTGAGATCACATTAAATTTGTAGATGAACTGGGAAGAACTGACCTTTTTGATGCAGATTCTTTCTATCTGTCTTAGTTATCTAGTGCTGCTGTAAAAGAAATATCACAAGTAGATTGCTTTAACAAAGAGAAATTTATTCTCTCAAGTCTAGTAGGCTGAAAGTCCAAATTCAGGGCGTTAGCTCCAGGAGAAGGCTTTCTCTCTCTCTGTCTCTCTGTCTCTCTGTCTCTCTCTCTCCCGGCTGTGGGGGGAAGGTCCTTATCATCAATCTTCCCTTGGTTGAGGAGCTTCTCAGGTGCAGGGACCCCGGGTCCAATGGACGCGTTCTGCTCCTGGTGCTGCTTTCTTGGTGGTATGAGGTCCCCATGTCTCTCTGCTCGCTTCTCTCTTTTATATCTCAAAAGAGTTTGGCTTAAGACACTATCTAATCTGGTAGGTCTCATCAATATAACTACTGCTAATCCATCTCATTAACATCATAGTGATAGGATTTACAACACATAGGAAATCATATCAGATGACAAAATAGTAGACAGTCATACATACTGGGAATCATGACTTAGCCAAGTTGATGGATATTTTTGGGGGACACAATGACACAATTCAATCCATGACACTATCCAAGAGAATGGTATGACTTTTCATTTGCTCAAGTCTTCTTATACCACCTTGTGCACCTCAAGTGGCACTAACTGTCTGGCAGGGATCAACATGTATCCAATTTCCATATGGAAATGGAACCAGGCTTCACCTTCCCACATCTCCATGATTCTCATCGCCAGCCACTTTCATGGAACTCCTTTCTCTGCCTCTAACCCAGAATTAGCTCAGACTTTATCCCTGACCACCCTGAGCCAGGTCAAAACATCCCTGGCCACCTGGGGCCAGGTCATCAGGTACCAGCCATAGGCCCAAGAGTCTACACAACTTCCTGTACTTCAGACCAGCCAGTCCCCAACCCCCCAAGCCCCTGGGGCTAGGTCAATAGGTTATAAGGATTTTGTCCTTCAGATCGCCTGCCAAATAGGCAGATGCCAGCCTCTGCTGGTTCTCACTGCCCTTTGTGGGTTTTTTACTTCCCTAGAATGGCTCACAAATGCAGTGGTTAAGAGTTTGGCTGCTAACCAAAAGATGCAGTTCAAATCCTCCAGCCACTCCTTGGAAACCCTATGGGGCAGTTCTGCTCTGTCCAGTAGAGTTGCTGTGAGTCAGAATGGTTTATTACCTATACTTACAGTTACCCATTTATTATAACCAGAAAGGATACAAGTGAAGAGATGCATCAGGCGAAGTTTGGGAGAAGTCCTGCATGAGACTTCCTTTGTCCCCAGGGACATGCCACTCTCTCCCATGCATGGATGTTCTCACCAATCCAGGAAGCCAAACTGTTTCATGTTCAGGGCCTCTTATAACAATGTATGTGCCTTATCATGGCCTTAGTGCATAGTGATGATTGGTGCCTCATTTCATATGCGCCATCGATTGAACTAATATATATGTATGATGGATGGAATCATGCCTCTCTCTCTTCCTGAAGTTATTTGCCATGTATCGTCTTGGGGGCTCCCACTACATTTGCACATGTTTAAGTCTTGCCTAGCTGTCTGTTTTAGAAGACACCTTGATTGCTCAAGAATTTCAAGGACTATTTTCAGGAACCTGAGACAATGGCCAAATCGAATTGTCTCATATACCCCCAAGATTATTTTGAAATTTTCTTCATTCAGATCTTGCATAATTCTAATTAACTGGTTGTTTTTTCTCTACTGGAAGAGGACTAATTTCTCTGTGTGGGTGTGCCTGTGTTTGCCTGTGTGTGGTGTGGTTAGTGTGTATGTGTGCGTGTGCGTGCGTGCGTGTGTGTGTGTGTGTGTGTGTGTGTGTGTGTGTATCTAGCCACTTAACTAATTTTCTTAATATTTGTAATAGTTTTCAGCTGATTATCTGGGTCTTTCCAGATTCACAGTCAAATCATCTGCAAATAATGATTATTTCACTTCTCTTCTCCAGTATTTAACACTTCTAATTTCCTTCCATTGTGTAATTGTGTTAACTAGATCTCCAGATATAATATTCACTACTCATAATAATCACAGAATCCTTGTCTTTTTTTGTCTTTCATGGCAATGCTCTTTGTCCCTTTTAAATAAATCAATCAAACATTTCTCTTACAGCAGAGCAAGGACTCGGAAAATGGAGAATATCAGTAGCCACTGGTTTTTGGGTACATAACAAAAGCTTATTGCAAAAATTATTTTAAAATATAGATGAACATAGGGTAAAAAGAAGAAACTACTTAACACACCAGAGGCAGACAAGCTTAACTGTTGTGTGTGTATCATTGTAGATCTTATTCTACTTAACAAAAGTACACATTCGTGAATAATTTGGAAATGCTATAGATATAGATGTAAATGGGTCATTGTCGTGGGACCTACTTTATTCTCTTAGCTATATATGTCTTAGCATTGCATAGTCTCTTAAATGTTATAATACATACATGGTATGTATTATAACTTATTTACCAATTCACATGTTGATGTATATTTCTGTTGTTTCTAACTTATTTCAAACCAAGTGTCAGTCTTTCTTTCATGACTTCTAGATTTCCTTTCTTGCTTGGGAAGACCTCCCCCACACTTATAAAAACGTTCTCCTGAATTTTCCTGTAATACTTGGATGCCTTTACTTTTATATTTCTTTAATCTATTTGACACATGCACATTTTACTAACTATGTTTGTTGTTGTTAGTTGCCATCAAGTCAGCTTCAACTTATAGCGACCTTACGTATGTTAAAAATGAAACAGAATTTTTGTAAAATTAAAGAAGAGTTTTATTCAGATTCAAAGATAGGCAAATTGGGAAGCACCAAAATGAAAGTTCAAAATGGCATTCTGAAGAGGGAGCATAAGCGTACTTCCTTTATAGTCAGTTTTGCAGAACTCTGTACAGAGTTGGTAAGAGTACGGGGGTACGTTCGATTGGTTGACATTCAACATGCTTTTGTAAGACTCATTTATCAAGAATTTCTACTGGCTGGGGTACTGAACCCTAGCCATAATTTCCTTTTTCCTAGAGCTGGTTCCTTCTGTTTCCTGCCCTGTTCTGGGTGTACCACCTCAGAATGTTGCAGAACAAGTTATCTTGGTCAAAGTGTAGTCAGGGGTCACATACTCTAAAAAGCAGAAGCAGGGGCCAAGGACAAAATGGTGTCCAATTCAGACCTGTGTCACCCATTTCAGTTGTATCAAGTACCTTAGTTTTAGAATGCTCTTTTACCCTTCCCCCTTCTAATCATGAATCTTTGTAGAGATTCATTAATCACCATTGTAAGAGTGTTTTTCTTCTGCATGGACTTCTCGTTGGATTGATCTTTTTATAAGTTGGATCTTTCATCAACCTTTTCACCACGCCATAGCTCAGACACTCTGCTTCTGTGATCTTCCAGTTGAGGCATGTGTGGAGCAAGGCCACATTTGGAGGAAAAACTTAACATCCAAAAAGGCTAACACAAGGTGTGAAGTCAGTCTCCTCTAAGAACTTAGTTTCTTCAAGATACATAACCTTCTGCATAGGAAGGGGAACTACAGTTTCTTTACAAGCATTAGACCGGCATTTTGTACATTTAATTAGACCTATAATCCAGTGTATACTTTCATTATAGGAGTGGACATCTAAAGGAACTCCTAAAAGACCTAACATGCATTGACCCATCATGTTCCAGCTATTTAAGCAGGGTAATGCCCAGGCATGAGGTTCATC